GTAGGGAAACGCCACTTCATGCTTATTGCGAGTTACCAGCACAGAATCACTGCTGCCTCTTTTCATGAGGGAATGAAGCAATTTTTCAGTAAAATCGCACCGAGCGCCAAAGAAACCTGTGTATTTACTAGTCCAGATGTTCTCAGGACCACAGTGACCAGGGGATATAAGAACTGCCCTTCAATCCCGTGTTGGTAACAGTTCCTTCTTCAGGCTTTAAAATCCAAATACCCCCAAACCCCACAAATACCTTGGCGCTCGTTATCGACCCAAAAGGTGAGAACTCCTTCCTCAGTTTTTCATCATCTATAGTGTCATCTAGGTTTTTAATGTACAAGTTAACACCCTAGAAGGGAGAGAATAAGACATTCATAACATTAAAGAATCTTCAGCACATCTACTGTTAGCATCCATCTGCTAGAGCTTTAGTTTGTCTGAAAACTCTTAATTTAGCACAACGTTCCTTTTGTACCACCCAAAGCTGAAAGTGATAAATGTTGCAAAGGTGTAGAGACAAGTCCCGCTGTGGTGAAAAGGAGCTTGTCTGGATTTCCTCTGCTTTCCTGTTGCATCGTGTGTCCCCGGCCCAGCACTGTATCGCAAGGAGTGGGAAAGATTCAGATGCGATCTCTGACTGACCCAGTTTTGCCATGTAATTCTAATTGACAGACACCAGCACAGAGTTATGCTGTCTCTTTCCACCCTTCCAGATATCCCCATTTCAAAACAAAGGAGACTGCATGACTGTTTTCTCACATCTTCCTGAACATTTAATTGCCAACACTATGCCCTGATGCCCCCTTTGCCCCCTACACACCATGGAGTCACCTTTACATTTTAACTCCCAGGATCTCTCACAGGGCAACGACCAATTACTTTGTCAGTTCCTCTCAAGTCTGCCAACCAACTGAAAATGGTGCTTAAATTCAGAAAAAGAACAGACTACTCACCTGGTACCGGCTGAGTCTCTCTTGTTTTAGCTGTTCAAACTTCCGTTTCAGCTCTGCCTGGCGCTCAACCTTCTTCTGTGCTCGGCCTACAAATACCATTTTCCCATTGATATCCTTTCCGTTCATTTCTTCTACTGCCTGGATAGAGGGTTCAAGAGGAAACTATCAACTGCTGAAACAAGACAGCACCTGATCCTGTTAAGAACAGGACTGTCCAAAGTTCTGCCCTGCCTGGTAGCAAATAAACCAAGGTTGTCACATTACCCTGTTACACAGAAGCAGTGCAGAGGTAAAGACAAACCGAAGCTATCAGGATAGACCATGCTGACAACACCACTGTTAAGTGCTGGACTAACAGCACCTTGTGAATTTATCCCCACCCCTTCCTGCAATCAAGGCCAAATATTAAGAAGCATTCTACTTAGAAGACCATTTCTGAGCAGTGTTCTCACTCTAGACACCTTCCTCTTCCTGAAGCCCTGCACTGTAGTATTTCTGCAGCAATTAACATTCTTGATTATACCACTGCATTCTGGGTGGATCTAGTAATCTGGAGAAATGCCAAGTTACCCCAAATGTCAAGCTAGTGAGGTGCAAAAGGTTTCCAAGTCCCCATATCTAGAAAAGATTATGTCTGAGGTGGAATCTTCTTATTTTAGTAACAGACTCCTACAATAAACCAAGTTCTTCTCTGAAGACACCTAAGCAGCATAAAAAATGGTCATACCTTGTTAGCATCTTCATGCTTTTCAAAGCTTACAAAGCCAAAGCCTTTGGATTTTCCAGCGGGGTCTGTCATCACTTTAACACTGAGAGTTTTACCTATTACACCAAGGGGCAGGGTTAGTAAAATATCATAAAACTATTTCAAGACTCTTTAACTCCATATAATAGCCCCAGCCCCCTCTCTCTCATCTGTTGGTCAGCCTCTGCCTCCTGTCCAACATTTGGCACAACTGCTACCACCCACACCTCAATTCTTTGTACTCCTCAGCCCCAAAGTGATACACACAGAGCTATACAGATGGTAGCAGCACTGTTAAACTACTGTGGGTCATGAAATTCAGTCTCATTAAAAGTGTTTCTGTATTTACCATATTTGCTGAAGAGCTCCTTTAGTCTTTCATCATCCATGTCATCCCCAAAGTTTTTAATATAAACATTGGTGAATTCCTTTGCCTTGGCTCCCAACTCAGCCTCCCGCTCTTTACGAGACTTGAATCTCCCAACAAATCTGCAAGAAAGAATGAAAATCCCAATGAGCAGCTTGTTTTTAAGAGTGGAAAAACAACATGTGACTTGCAGTGAGGCAGAAAAATGAGTGTGTAGTAGGAGCTTGGAATGGGGACAAGAAAGGGTGACAGGAGAAGAATAAACAGGCCACAGACCAACCGGAAAAGTCACCTGTCGTATGGTGGAGAGAGTCAGACAAGGATGCCCAACCAGCTTTGCACTGGAGAGTGCTGGCCTCAGAAACCCACCCCAGCCCACTGGCAGAGAGGCAGCAAGTCAAGGCTTGGTTAGGGAAACCCACCAGCCCTGTAATGGAGGGGTAGCAGGCCATGGCTTGGGCAGGGTCACTCACCAGCCCTGTAGTGGAGAGGAAGCAGGCCAAGGCTTGGGCCAGGAGAACCAGTGCCTTGTGTGTCCCTGTTAATACCGAGATGCATCACGGTTCATGCGATCGTTGCTGCTTCTGGCTGTGACACTCACACTTTGCGGTCGTTCAGCAGCATGCCGTTCATCTTCTCGATGGCTCTATCTGCAGCATCCTGGGTCTCAAAGTGCACAAATGCGTAGCCCTTAGAGCCATTCTCATCACACACCACCTAGACACATGGAAGGAAAACAAAATGTCAGTGCTCTGAATGCATTTTCTCCTCTGTCATGCTCAGACACAAGGCCAGCACGCAAAAACAGGTTACTGCCAAGGGTCACCACTAGGAAGACGTTATCTGTGTTTCAGACTGGCACATTCATTTATTTCATGACCAAATCTGACAGAACTTCAGCAATCTCTGACCTGCTGGTCAACTCCGCCTTTTAGAGACTCCACTCCTCACTTGGTGAAAGGTGTCCCTTTCGCTTCCTACACTGGATGTGTCTGATCATGTCACTGCTATAGCAGAACTGGACAAAGTAACCACATCTCACCTTGCAGGACAAAATATTCCCAAACGCTGAGAATGTGTCATAAAGTGCCTTGTTATCAATGGATTTGTCCAGGTTCTTAATGAAGACATTCCCAACCCCTGACTTCCTCAAGGAGGGGTCCCTCTGAGACCACATGATGCGAATGGGTTTTCCTTTGATCACATCAAAATTCATGGTATCTAGAGCACGCTCAGCTGCAAGAGAATTCAAGAACAGATTTCTGTGGTTTGTTACAGAGTAAAGGTTTCCATCACATGGGTGATAGTTTTCTCTGAATTACACTCAGCCCACAGAGATCTGGGGCAGTATCACGGGCAACCAGTTTCAATGACTTTTTAACTCAGTGTTTCAAGGGAGGTCTTTGCAGCATAGGCACTAGACATATTTAAGTACATAACAAGTCTAACAGACTATTTCAAATTTACATGATAGTAATGTTTTAACAACCACAGCAAAATGAGTATCAAAATGCCTTTTGTTTATTAGTTATATTCTTAATTATTATAAAGCTAAATTGCTGTACCCAAAGAAGGACAGGAAATTGTCATGGTTTAGCCCCAGCTGGAAACTCGGGGGGAAAAAAAGGAAGAAACAAAATTGACTGTTTGGTTTGTTTGGTTTTCATGAAGCTCACATCTACCCGTACTCATTTCTATTAAGAGAAAAGTATCACCTCCCTATCAGGTCAGGAAAAACGTGCATGAACACGTGGATGGCTGGGAAGATGACATGACTCAGCTTCTGTAACTTATGTGGCCAAAAAATGATTCCCAAGTTGCTCAATCTACAGATGACAGCAAGAGCAGACAAAACTCCGGAAAAAAGTCCATACACCCAACCTGATTAACAGGGAAGTGTTTATCTCCACTCTGGGCCCCCCCCCCCCCAATTCTATTTCTGCTACCTACTGATACATTAAAAGGATCATTACGTACACACATTAGGATCTTGTTCATAAAATTGAGATGCTTGGAACTCTTCTGTGCCAGAAAACACTCCCAACATGGAG